CAGAACCAGGACAACATTGTACACAGTAACAGCAACACTGTACAATGATCAACTATGAATGACTTAGCTACTCCCAGCAACAATGATCCAAGACAATTCCAAAGATCTCATGAGGAAAATTGCTATTCACATCCAGAGAAAGAACTGATGGAGTCTGAATTCAGATCAAAATGTACTATTTTCACTTTATCTTTTTTTCACTTTATCTTTTTGTGGAGTTTTTTTGTCTGTTTCTTCTTTCACAACATGACTAATATGAAAATGTTTTACAAGATTGCACATATATAACCTATATCAAATTGCTTACTGTCTTAGGTAGGAGGGAAGCAAAGGAGGGAGGGAGAAAATTTGGAACTCAAATTTTTTTAAATGAATGTTAAAATTTGTCTTTACATGTAATTAGAAAAAATAAGATATTAAAGACTACAAAGAAGACGAAGAAGGTGACTTCCTTAAGGGCAGAGACCTTGTTTTTGCTCTGGTTGGTATCCTCAGCATGTAGCATACAGTAAATGCTTAATAAACACTTACTGACAACTGTCATGTACCCATTCCCCTGAATCTTCTCTTCTATAGGCTTATTAGCCACAGTTTTTTTTGATGACATGGATTCAAAAGTTTTTGACCATTCTGGCTGTCTTTTTCTGGAATTTTCCAGAAATCAATGTCCTTCCTAAAATGTGATAGTGTCTGGAATTGAAAGACATATTACAGATGAGGTTTGATTGAGGCAGAGTGCAGAGGGATCACCATCTCATTCCTGGAAGCCAGGCCTCTCTTAATGCAGAATGATGAATGTTTTTTTAAGTCACACTATTATGTTGAATATGCAAGTCACTAAAACCCCCATTTATCTTTTTCAAACTGTTTTCTAAATGTTCCCCCCACTACCACCTTGGTAAAGTTGATTTCTCAAACACGAGTATAAGATTTTGCATTTATCCCAATTACCTTTCATCTTATTATATTCAGCTAACTGGATTTTTTGAAAGAGAGTAGAAAATTAAATTACCAAAATAAAAATGAACAAGGTAAAATCACAACGAATAGAGCCAAAATCACTATATATGATTAAATCCCAACCAAAATGAGCACCTCACTCCTCTCCCCTCCCCTCATCTGACAGGGAAAATTCTACATACTTTTGTCCACATGTGCCTACCAGCATCTTTCTTGCCCCAAATGGACTCCTCTCTCTACCCAAGTTCTAGAAATTTAAGAAACTTCTAGTTAATTTGTGCTTACTACTAAACATCTATGTGCTTGGAGTCAAGAAGTCCTGAGTTCAAAACCATCCTCAGATACTTACTAGTTGTTCGAAGCTGAGCTAGGCATTTAACCATTGTCAGCCTCAGTTTCCTCATCTATAAAATAGGGATAATAATAGCACCTACCTCCCAAAGTTGTTGTAAGGACAAAATGAAATATTCATAAAGCACTTTGCAAACCTAAAAACATTCTATAAATGCTAGACCTACCTTGTCCATGAAACCCGCTCTAACCCACAAAAATAATCTCCCCCCTTCCTAACAGTCTAAATCATTTGATCAAATTTGGTACTAGGAGGCATACGAGCTGGAATTTAGATTTAGAGCTGGAAGAAATTTATGACAGCTTTGGAAGATCCAAGTTTTACAGAAAAAATCCTTTTATTAAGGGGATTTTTTCCTGTGAAGTTTGGAGTCAAAGGGCTGAACTTGAGGACTTAGATGGCCACCTGTGGCCTTGAGGCCGAAGCTTCCCCACCTGTGTATCTAGTCCAACCTTCTCATTTTACAGATTGGCAAATTAAGTCCCAAAGAGAAGGGGAAATCACTTGCCCGAGTATACACAGCTAACACAATAGCAAAGCTGGGACTAAAACTCAGATTATGGGATCATGGACTTGGAGATAGAATGACCTTAGAGATTACCCACTTCAACCCTGTCATTTTACAGATGAGAAAATGGAAGCCCAGAGAGGTAAATTAAGTGCCCCAAGGTGATTCAGGTAAGTTGTCCTCAGACTCCAATTTTGCACTTCCTACTTTAGCACTAACATTCTTCTTAAGATATTTTACAGCATCTCTCTTGAAGCTTCCTCATTTTTTTTTTTTTTAAATCATGGTGTGTCTTGGTGCTGGATTGATATAGAGACCTTGAGGGCTGGAAATCTTCTCATATTCCTCCAAAATACCTGGTGCAGGGCTTGGCATGTAGTAAAGTAAGTCAACACTGGGTGAAGAAATGAATGAATTCAGGAAAGTAGGACCCAGGAAATCTGGGAAGGAGGAATGGGAAAATTATCCGAAGTTAAAGTACACTGGATTCTTGAGACTCGCAGAATTTCAGAGCTGAAATCGACCTTACAGACAATCTAGTAGCCCCATTCTCTACTTTTAACAGAAGAGGAAACCGAGGCCCAGAGAAGAGAAGCCATTCATTTCTCTAAGGTTACTTAGTAAGTTCATGGCAGAACCAGGAAGACCCAGGTTTCTTTCCACATCACATCAGGTTGCCTGTGTAGCAGAGAAGCCCCTCCCCCTTTCCAGGCCACACAGGAAGGCAGGGAGATGCATACTTCCAGCAATTAAAACACTTTTAAGGGGGAGGGGGGAGTAGAGGAAACCTAAAATAGCCCTAGAACAGACAAGCCCTCTCCACCCCCACCCCAGCCTCAGACACTTCCCCAGTAGAAAATGGGGAAACCCTAACCACATTCTTCAAGGACAGATGGATCCTTAGGATACAACAAGATGGCTCCCAATTCAGGACTTTTGGGAATGCAACATTGCTGCTCTGGTCAATGACTGGGGAGAAGGTGGGGGAGGGCTGGGAAGGGAAAAGAAAGAGGAAGCTCCAGCAGTTTCTATTAAAAGCGCCTAGAGGGTCATATACAATCAACTCTCAATACCCCGCCCCCCACTCTCTGAAAGACTAGGTCTAGTGGAGGGACTGCTGCCTCCCGCAGCCTCCCGCCTTCTTCCCCCTCTTCCTCCGGGCTTTTTTTTTTTTGTGTGATTTCAACTCTTCCCTCCCTGCCTTCAAAGCTGCCCTTTGGTGTTCAAAGTGACCTGATTTCACCTGTGTAAAACTTTTTTTTTTCTTTCCGGAGGAAGGGATTCAGTTGCTTTTTTTTTAAATCCATTGACATATATGTGATTTGGGCTGCCCCCCCTACCCCCAGGAATGGTCTGGGTTACATCCTCCAATCTTAACTTCCTCATTCGTCCAAGCCCTTCTCCACATGGCATCTTCTCTCCCAGATTTCCTGGTCCTGAACCTCAGAGAAATGATCCAAACCTTCTAGGATTGCCCCTAATTCTATCTCCTCCTCCTAAAAGCCCATCTCAACAGAACCCAAAGTTACAGCCAACTGCACAGTGCCTCCCCACCTCCAGTTTTAAAAACATTTTAAAGACTTTCAGATTAAGGTAGGGGAAAGGAGGAGGTCCCCCATGGCAGGACTGGATCCTCACTATCACTCTTGGTTTAGGGGTTTCCGAGTTTTTCTTCCTTGGAACTTTTTTTTTTTCCTGAAGGGAAAGGGCCAGGGAATGAATGACACGGGAAGGAAGAAAGAAAGAAAAGAAACAGATGAGTCACAGTGGAGTGTGTCACCGAGCCCCGCATTGCTATACCCCTAATCACGGGAGGTGGTGTGAGGATTCCTTCAGGAATTCAGGGGCCCGAAGGTTTGGGAAGAGTTGAAGCCGCCATCTCCCCTCTCCAGGTCTGTCCCATTCACTGCAAGTGACTTTCTACTTCCTCCTTCTTCCGATCCTCAAGTCTGTCCGCCTCCCGTTTTTATGGGGTTGGGAGAGGGCACAGATGGGTGTCGGGCACAAGAAACCCCAGAAAAACCGAAACAATCGCTAGGTCACCTGCCCAAAGGGCATTCCCTGGTTTACATTTTAGCCAAATGTTCTAATTGTTCCCTTAACTGGCTGTCCCTTGATTACAAGCCTTTAGTGTCCACTAATAAATTAGTTTGATTTCACACACGTTTCAATTCAAACCGTCTCGCATTTCACCAGTCAGCCAAACTTTGGTCAACCCTTTTACAAGTAGACAAGGAATAAAGCCCCTAGACAACCTAACTTAGTTTAGGGAAGTGGAGTACTTTATAAGGAGAAAAACCATAAATTGGCTAATTGTCTTTTTCTTTCTTATTGGATCCATGCTAACAGGTGTTTTCAGTGTTTAGCCCTAACACTGCAGGCACCTATTCGGGGGGCCCCGGGACTAAGCCCGCGTGCACATACCTGTACACCTCCCCCACCCATATACTTAGGATCGTTCCACCCAAGTTTTCCCACCTCCACAGCAGGATTTGAGGTTTGTTTTGGTTTTTTTCCTAGAATAAAGCTGGAAAAGACCCTACAGATAATTTAGTCCAAGTCCCTCTTTTCACGCATGAGGAAACTGGGTCCCACAGAGGTTACGTTGACTTCCTCTAAGTACTACAGCCGACAAATGGCAGAGAAGACCTCCCGGCTGCAAGCCTAGCGCCCTTTTCACTACACCACCCCGGCCTCTCCAGCTCACAACTGCCCCTAACAAACAAGAAAAGAGACCCCTAGTTCCACCAAGGGAAACTGGGAGGGGGAGGGGAAAAGGGGAGGGGAAAAGGAAAGAGACTATCCAATCGGGCATGTGCGTCCCTCCCCAAGAACCACAACCCCAGGGCTTCTTCGAACAGTGCGTAGTAACGCACTTCCACCTCCAGACCCCACACTCGACCACGCGCCTTCAGCCCCCAACCCCAGGACCACGTGGAGACAGGTACTAAGAAACCCACCATGCCCCGAACCTGCCCCCCCCCAAACCTGATCCTTCAGGCCCACACTCACCAACCCCTCTCACCCCACCCCCATCCGCGCCCACCTAGCACGATAGCCCGAGGCCGCCTTTTTAAATCCCCCAGCTCATTTGCATGGCCCCGCCCCCTGCGGTGACACAGCCTCCGCGCGGGCCAGCCCCCGGGCCGCCCCCCCCAAACTCTCCCCCCCCCTTGCCCCGGTCTCTCTTTTTAAGCTCTCCTGAGCCGGGGCTGCGCTTCTCTAATTGGGAGTGTGAGCCGGGGCTATTTCTGGAGCTGGCGCCACTCCAAGAGGGCGTGAGTTCGCGGCTGCTGCTCGGGCGGTTTTCTACCTTTTTTTTTCTCCTCCCCCCCCCTTTCCTTCTCCCCACCCACCACTCTTTAAATAATTTCTATTTATTTATTTATGGGGGGGGAATGCACGGGCCGGACCCGGCTTCCTGCCTCTTGCCTTGATTTTTAAAAAATTTATATTTATTTCCCCCCCCCTTCCCCCCCCCCCCCCCCTCCTCCCCCCGCCCCCCCCCCGAATGTGACACATAAATACCCCGCGGGGGCCTGGGCGGCGGAGCACGCGGCCGGCGGTCTCTGAGCGCTTCTCTCCTCTCTCCCGGTTTCAGATCCGCATTTGCAACAAGCGGCGGCGGCGGCGACGGCGGCGGGAGGAGCCCGAGCAGGGAAGCTTAGCGAGGTCATTCGCTCGCAGTCCGCGTTGCTCCCCCGCAACCCGGAGCTACGCACCCAAGCCGGCCCGCCGGTGAGTGCCTGCGGCTTCGGGGAGGCCGCCGATGGAGGGGAGGGGAGGGGAAGGGAAGTAAGGGGGGCGGGGGGCGCCGCCGCCGCCGCCGCGCGTGAAGGGGAGGGGGGCGGGAAGCGCGCGCGCTGCCGGCTTTATTCCCAGGCTCCCGGGCTGCGCGAGCGGCCGCCGAGGTGGGAGGGGGCCGCATTCGGAGGGGGGGGTTCCTCTCTGCACGCCCCCTCCCCCGTTCTCTGAGGCGGAAACCCGGGGATTGGCGCGTGAGGTTTGGGGGGGGAGGGGACTCGCGCGCCCGCAGGTAGCCCCCCGGGAAAGAGAGACGCCGGGGTTTGGTTCTTTTGGCCTTCCCCATCCCCCGCTTTCACCTCCCGCTCTGCATGGAGGCTTTATAATAATAAGGGTATGGGCTGCTCTTTGCAGAGGATCGGAGCCCACCCCGACCTGGTGCTGGAGGTGGGGGGGGGAATGCTCGGGTTGGAAGGGCACGAGGGAGAAGCTGGGGCTGGGAGGGGGAGAGAGTGGGCACGTGCGTCGGGTTCATGCCCATCCCCCCACGGGAGCGGAGGGAAAGGAAAGTCAAGGTAGTGAAGGAGGAAGGGGAGGAGGGGGAAGCGCCCCTACCCCCAGTTTGCGACCCAGCCCCACCCCGCCTGGAGACCAGAGCCGGCGGCTTGCTGCTCTTCTCACCCCGGGCTCGGCCAGGCCAGCCTTCCCGCCCCCACAAACAGGTTTCTCAGCTTTGTTGGGCCCTGTTGGAACTAGCCCTTTTGGCACCCCACGTTTTACCGGGGGTGGTGGTGTGAAGGGGCACTCGCCCCCGACACTCGGCCATTGTTTCCCCTTTCACCCCTAAAGGGACAGGTAACCCCCTGCTAGAGTGGGGTGTAGAGAGGCGGGCTGGTAGGTATTGGGGGTGGGGAAGTGCTCTGTAGCCACTAACTCAGTGGGAAACAGAAGGCCTGGAAATGAGGTTCCCCCAAAAGCTTCGGAGGCTGGCCCTTCTGGCCTGGCCTGCCTGCCGGGTTTTATGGCCTGGTTTCTGCACAAGCCCAGCTTCGTTGGGGAGGAGAGGTGGGTAAGTCTCCCACCCAGGTAGTGTGATTCCACCTGTGAAAGGGAAGTGAAGGGAGTCACATCTGTGACTTTCAGCAAGCCACTCTTTCCCTTCCGCCTCTCACCCAACCTGGGCCTTAGTTTCCCCATTATTTAAAGTGCACGAGTTGGATAGGCTTTATAGGGAAGGTCGTTTCCAAAGGGCTCGAAAGTCTTCCAAGACTTCTGGTGGAATGACTTAATTTATCTCGCAAAAATTGGACCTCCTTTTAGTTAGGCCATTCATTTTAATTTCATTCTCCATTCTCCCAGGAAGTAGAAACACACAGGTTTTGTGTGAACTTAGCAAGAGCAACTGGGGTGGGTTAAAGTCACCCAGACTATTAGAGAATGAGTCTGAAAGGTTTCAGGTATGACTAAGCAGGAAGATACTTAAAAGGGGCTAGGGCTGGGTTCCCCATCCCTTACCTCACCCCCACCCCCCCAAAACCTCTTGTCCCAGAACAAGCAGGTGTTTGTGCTCAGAGTTGACTTGAAAGAATGACTGAGTGAATTGCAGTTCCTGGGTGGGAACTTGGGGGAGGGATGGGGCAGATGGTCCAGATTTCGTATGAGTTGGGCTCTCATTTAGCTGATTAATTTTGTTTAGTTTTTAACGGAAACCTGTGGTGTAATATAAGATTCTAATCACTGTCTAATTAAAAAGCAAGGCAAACCACTAATTACAAAGCAGGATAAATCATGAAACCACCTTGTTTAAAAGTATCTCAAAATCTGAAATGTTATAAAATAGAATAATTACCAATAGGGCAGAGACCTGCTGTAGAGAGAATTTCCCCAGGGCAGAAGGATGAGGGGGCTTCAGAATCCATTGAAATTAGTTTACAAAACATGTTTTGTTTTAAAAATCTGTGTGTACATATGAGTATGTACTGGAAAAACTTTTTAAAAAACTGCTTAAAAACACAACAAAAAAATTAAAAGTTTCAAGGCTTGTAGTTTCTTTAGTTTAATGGCATGTAGAATTAGAAAGGCATGTGGTCCAGTAGGAAGAGGGCTGGTTTTGGAGGACAAACCTGGATTCAAATCCTGCCTCTTTCATTCACCTGTATGAGTTTGGTCAAGCCACTTAAACTCTCTGTTCCTTTCAGCTTCAAGTCTATTTCTCTTCTTTCCTCCCCTTCCATCATCTTGTTTGATCCTCATTGTGATCCTCCAGGAATAAGCATTGCAAGTTTTTATTTATCCCCATTTTGTAGATGAAGGAAAACTGATTCTCATTAAAGTGATGGGTTGGGTGTTCAGGGGAAAAGTGTGTGGAATTTGGAGCAAATGAATGCCTGTTCCCTGAGCCTTTCCTGAAAGATTAATCCTGGACAGACAAAAGATCTGGGAGTCCAAACTCCAAGGTTCTGTTCTCTCAAGAGGCTACAGTCCCTTACTATGTGACTGTGATCAATGGTCATTTTAACCTTGCTCTTCCCATCTGTAACTTGGGAATGATGATAATCATAACTTAGAATGGGGTGATACCCATGGAATTCATATTTTAAGTCTGGGAAAGAGAGGTTCCATTCTCTCATAGGAGCCATGCTTCCTTTCTTCAAGGTTCCAAGTACAAGGGTGGGCAGCCTTCGGCCTCCTAATTCCTTGGGTGAAGCCTTTTGACCGAGTCCAAGTTTTACGGAACAAATCCTTTTATTAAGGGGATTTGTTCTAAGAAATTTGGATTTGGTCAAAGGGCCACACTTGAGGACCTAGAGAGCCCCAAGTGGCCTCAAGGTTGCAGGTTCCCTAGCCCGTTCTAGGATTACATTAAGGAATAGGGGAGATGGTGAGGTAAACTAGTACATAGCTCATCTCTGAGTCAGGAAGACTAGTTCATGCCTTACATCTGACAAATGCTGACTTTGTGACCCTGAGCAAGTCACTTTACCTCAGCCTCTTAGCACCCTCAGCAGTTCTCTAAGATCTGCATTAGTGGAAGGAATTTCCTCATCTAGGGGCTTCACAACAACCCTGTGAGGTAGGTAGTAATAGCATATTATTGCCAGTTTACAGATAGGGTCTGAGGCTTGGAATGGAAATGATTTATCATTAAATGAGCAAGCTTCTGATTGGACCTCCTTTGTACCATACAGTGCTCTTCTTGCTGTCTGGTCGTGAAATGCTTCACCTTTTTGCAGCAAGAGAAATCTCAGGTTTAATGTTTGGAAGACTTTTCTAGCTGAAGGTGACTCAGTTCTATAACTTTGAGAAAAGTTAAAAGAGGATGCTTTAAAAGAGTGATCGGCTGGTAGGCAAATGGGATAGACTAGATTCCCTAGAACCAGGTTTCTAGAACTTTCTGGAAGTTTTACATCTCCAACTATTCCCTCCTGGGCACACAAAAGGCATGTTTGGACCTTTGATCTTCTTTCGGAGATAGCAAAGTAGGAAAGGGATGGGGGGTTGAAGGAAACCGAAAAGGAGGGAGCATAGATCTTTCAGTCTTTTGAGTTGGGAGGGGAAAAGAATAAACATTTATATGGCAACTGCTAGGCTGAGAGCTTTACAAATATTATCTCTTTTGATCCTGACAATAAACCTGCCTGGTAGGTGCTGTTATTATTGCCCTTTTACAGTTGAGGAAACAGACCAACAGGTTAAGTGACTTGCTCAGGGTCACATAAGTGGTAGGTATGTCTCTGAGGCTGGATTCGAACTTGGGTCATCTTGATTGTAGGCGAAGAGCTTTATCTATGTGTGACCTAGCTGACCCTGAATAATTCTCAAATGTTCAATGGCTGAAACTGGACTAGAACCCAGGATCATCAGCCCCCTTATTTAACAGATGAAGAAACTGAGACCAGGGAAATTAGGTAGCTTCCCTGAGGTCACACAGGGCATAGTGGTAAGTCCTGCATTCTCTACAAGCATGCCCCATCCTCAAGGTACTTTCTCCCCTATTTAGTGCCTCAGTTTCTTTTCTCATATGAAACAGGCTTGGCAGAGAAAGGGAGGGTTCTAAGTGATTGTGGTGCTGAGCACGGTCTCTGTTCTGTGCTACCCTTCCCTCCTGTCCCAAACTTTGCTCCTGGGCTAGGGCATCTGGGTGGGTCCCTACCTGGAAAAGCCAGGGTAGTAGGCGGGTTCTGCCCTGGGCCCTGTGGGGGTGGCAGAAGCTGGGGTTAGGACAAAGAACCTTTCTGAGCTGGGGAGATAAGACACAGATTAACTCTATCCTGTCTGGCCCCCACCACTGCTCCGATAGCACACGTTACTGGGGGAGGAGGGGAGGAACCGACTTGAGTTGGAGCCAGGGAATTCCATCCTTAGGACAGAGGGAGGGACAGTGGTAATATCTTGGTGCTAGGTGGCTACAAAAAGAATTTTTAATTTTTTTTTTTTATTTAATGATTCTCTCCCTTACCCAGAACGCCATCCCCCTACCCTTTACCACCTCTCATTAGAGAAGGGGGAGGATGAGTGAATCTAGTTCAAAGTCCAGCCAGCCTCTGGCCTCCAAACAGGAGAAAGACGGGTCTGAGAAGAGAGGGCGGGGCCGACCCCGGAAACAACCCCCGGTAAGTGCATGGTAAAGATATGTCTAAAGCATGAGCAACCCCCAACCTGTCCTGTCCTTCGAGATCCCCACCCCCCTCAAGTTCTCGGGGTGTTCAAATAAGGGTAGAATGCTTTTATTTCACCCATCTGTTAAATACAAAGATCATTGGGTTGGGAATCAGGGGACCAGATTCGAATCTAGCCTTCCTACTTAATCAGTTTTTCAGCATTTGAAAAGTGACTCCCCCTCTTGGAACCCCACCTATAAAACAGTCACTAAATCCTGCAACATATAAATCTTATTATATGACTATGAAGATTTAGGCTAACAATTTTCTGTTGGACCTGAGAATGAGTACCTAGTGGTGCCTCATTTTAACCTTCTGGGTAACTGTGGGAAGTAAATCTGGAATACCAGGAAAATTCGAGCAGGGGAAGAAAGGAAGGCCAGTAGGGAGACAGACTTCATCCTCTCCTCCCTCCCATCATACGTACTGCTACAATATTGACCCTGAGAAAGAACGTGGTATCTTCAGTCATCTCCTTGGGGAAGGAGGAAGGACACAATGCTGAGGAGGTGGGGCACAGAACCCAGGGCATCCTAGCCCCTGTCCTTGAGCTAAACTTAAGACACAGGATCGTATCAGCCAGGAGAGTGTGGAAGTACACTACCGGCCGACCAGGTTTCTGCTCCCATCTCTACTGTTTGCTAGCTGTGTAACCCCAAGCAAATCACTGACCCTCGACCTTCTGTTTTCCCATTTGTAACATGAAAGGGTTGGATCATAGTATCAGTCTTCTCCCTCTCTGCCACAACTCCCCCAGCCCTACCCTTTGTGTGAGGAGAGGGGAGAAAACATTTTCTGTTGCTCTGTTACAATCCTCCAGGGAAGCAAGATAAGTAAGTGATGAGAACCCTGTAAGCATCAGTATGATGTGTTGGGGGCAATGGGGAACTTGCACCAAGCAGGGAACGAATGAGCTTTTGTCCTTGGGATGGATCCCAGGTGGCTTATTTATCGCTGAAGTCCAAGTAATCCAACACCCATTCACTCCCCTTTGCCCACAAGCCTCTTTCTGGCCTACCTTAGCCAGAAGGAAGGAAGGTGACCACTGGGATGGTTAGGTTTGGAGGTGAGGGAGAGAAGCCAAGGCAGCTAGGTGTTAGAGTGGATAGAGTCCTAAGCCTGGAGTCGGGAAGACCTGAGTTTACATCTGGCCTCAAAACTTTTTTTTTTTTAACATTCTTTTTTTTATATTGTTGATTTATTAAAGTACGTAATGTAAAATATTATATAAGTTTTATTGACCTAGGTATTTTAATTTTTATTATTTTTTTTATTTATTAACAATCACTTCCATAAGCTTTTGAGTTTTAATTTTTTCTCCTCCTCCCTTCCCACTTCCCTTCCCAAAACAGTGCGAAATCTGCTATAGGCTCTACATACACATTCCTATTGAACATATTTTCACATTAGTCATGTTGTAAGGAAGAATCAAAACCTATAGGAGGAACCACAAGAAAGAGGCAACAAAACAGAAGAGAAAAAAAGAGCAAATAGTATAGTCAGTCTGCATTCTAACTCCATAGTTCTTTATTTGGATGTGGATAGCATTTTCCATCATGAGAACTTTGGAGATGTCTTAGATCTTTGCATTGCTTGAGAAGGGCTAAGTCTATCAAAGTCATCACACAATGTGGCTGTTACTGTGTACAGTGTTCTCCTGATTCTTCTCACTTTACTCAGCATCAGTCCATACAAGTCTTTCCAGGTTTTTCTGAAGTCTGCCTGCTCATCATTTCTTATAGCACAATAGTATTCCATTACATTCATATCCCACAACTTGTTCAGCCATTCCCCAATTGATGAGCATCCCCTCAATTTCCCATTTTTTGCCACCACAGAAAGAGTTGCTATAAATACTTTTGTACATGTGGGTCCTTTTCCCATTTGTATAATCTCTTTGGGATACAGCCCTAGAAGTGCGATTGCTGGGTCAATTTTTATAGCTCTTTGGGCATAGTTCCAAATTGCTCTCCAAAATAGTGGGATCATTTCACAACTCCACCAACAATGCACTAGTGTTCCAATTTTCCCACACCTTCTCCAACATTTATCATTTTCCTGTTTTGTCATGTTGGCCAGTCTGATAGGTTTGATGTGGGGACCTCAAACATTTACTAGCTGTGTGACCCTGGGCGAGTCATTTAATCTCTTTGCCTCAGTTTCTTCATTTGTAAAATGAAAATAATAGGACATATGTTTCAGGGTTGTTATGAGGACCAAATGATATGATATTTGTAAAGCACTTGACACATAGTAGGTGCTATATTAATAAATGTTAGCTGTTTTACTAGAATGTGCTGTATTTACTGAGTGGTGAGCCTTGCAGCTATAATCTGGTAGATGATGTCCAAGCCCTTTAAGCATCTTCTGGTAAATCTAAACACTTAAACCCCTTTGTGGGATGGATTATGAAGGATGTAAAGAGGGCCTCAGGTGAGAAAACTTCTCTTATCCTCTCTGTTCCTAATCTGGAGCTGGGAAGGCTTTGCATGACCTTGGGTATGCCCAAGGAACCTTTGGAAACCATCCGTAAAATGGAGACACAGGCCCATCGTCCACAATCCCTGCTCACTGTCTCCCAGAGTCATTGGATGAGTAATGGATGTGAAATCTTTCAAGGGATAGTTTCTAGATGAGAGAGAAGGTTTGTGTAGGGGCAGAATGGGTCAGCTCAGTGTTCCCCATCCCTGGGAGGCTGACTGGCTTGGTCTGCCCTAATTGGAGAGGTTGGCCACTCTCTGCTCCCCTTCATCACCCTTGAGCATCCTTTCCATCTGCCCCTCCTTATCCCAGTGGTCACCTTACTTCTTGTGGCTGGCTACTGTGGAGCAGAGGAATGGGTGTTGGATTACTTGGACTGTAGCTATAAACAGCCCAGGTGATTGAAGAAACGATAGCTGGGATGCCTTTCCCTCATTGTCCATGCATCATTCATGAGCTTTTTATTTTCTCTTTGGCTTATGAAAATTTCAACAGCAAAGGTAGGGGCCTCCAAGGTGGGGTCCTAGGCTTCACTTTCTTTGCTGGGGGAGGTAGTTTGGCAAAGCCCCAGAGTGGTGGAAGTAACTTTTCCTTCTGGGCCCCTCCAAGTTAAATTTATCCTTCCCTTCCTCTTTTCCCCACCAAGGACTGATAGGGAAAGGTGTGAGGGAGCAGTTGGAGTATGTGTAGGGGGCAATAGACAGGGAATAGAATAGAATCAGAGAGAAGGGAACTTAGGCTATCAGTCTCCTGGGGCCCCGGGCAGAGAGCAGGTCCAGAGGGGTTTTTTTTTAATGGTCTTTTTGCCCTAAGAAAAAGCATTGAGGAAGAATGGTATCCCAATGTATAGATAAGACTTTAAAGATGCTTCAGAAATGTGACGCAATTGTTTATTTGATGGGTGACAGACACCTGTCTCGTCCCCTCTGTTTACTCTCCCACTATTTCTTATCCCTGCCCTATTTTGTCTTCCCTCCAGAAGGAGCCCAGTGAGGCACCAACTCCCAAGAGACCTCGGGGCAGACCGAAGGGGAGTAAGAACAAGGGGGCTGCTAAAGGCCGGGTGAGTTCCTGGGGTTGTGGAGGAGAAAAGGTTTCCTCCATTTAGGCAGCCATTTTGGTCTCATGGGGCATAGATTAGGAGAAAGTTGAGGTTTTTTCCTCAGCAGAATTTGGAAGACATAGTAAGACCCAGTGATGACTTATGGAGGTGGGAGGAGAGCTGCTGGAGGCAAAGTGTGTGTATGTGTATACATACACAGGCAAGGTTTATGTAGATGTGTGTATGTATAGGCTTGTGTGTGTGTGTAGCAGATGGACCAGCACAGTCTGTGCAGTCTGTGTACAAAAAGATCTGTGGAAAGTATGGCTTCCATAGGTGTCTGGTGGGCTTGGGAGGTTGGGGAGATGTGTGTCCTCAGCAGCAACCTGTTTTGGGGGTGAGGATACAGTGGCAGGGTTGGGAATGGCTCAGAGAATAGAGCTGTGGGCCTGGAGTCAAGAAGACTTGAGTTCAAGCGTGACCCACAGCGAGTCACTTTTTGGCCTCAGTTTCCTTATTTGTAAAATGGGGATAAGTAATAGCACCTACCTCTCTCCTAGGGTAGTTGTAGGATCGAATGAGGGTAATTGTAAAGAGCCTAGCGCTGTGCCTGGCTGCACAGTGAGAGCTATATGAATATAAACTACTATTATTAGTGGGAAAGGACACTGAATTTCCAGCCAGAAGACTTGAGGCTCCCAGCTCTGTTACTTGCCGTGTGACCTTGTTACACATGTGCCTTGGTTTCCTCATTTGTAAAATGAGAGATCAAAGAATACTTGTATTTTTATCTCACGGGGCTGTTTATGGTCTGAAGAATGAAAAACATTTTAAAAGATGATCTGCTATAGACTAGCGCTTTAAAAAATGTCTTTTACAAAACTTTTATAAAAATGGTTTATTGCTTAGGGTTGGAGAGGAAAGAGATTGATGTTGGCCAGAGGGGCTTCGGCCCCCTTCTGGTTCTCCTGGCCCTGGGGAGAATGGGAAATGATTCATCTGGAGTATAGAGGGAAAGGGGAGGGGGTGTGTTCCATTCATCCCCCAGGAAATTCTGTTATTGAGGGGGTGGTGAAGGAAGAGGAGGGACGGCTAGAGAAAGGGCCAAACACTTGGGGTGGGGGGGTACATATGATGGCTTCTTTGAGAAGCTGTTTTTGTTTTATTTATTTATTTGTTTTGAGGGCTCGACTCATATCCTCTGAGTCATGGGTGGGAGGAAAAAGGAGGAGTGAGGAGGTGTGTGTGTGTGTGTGTGTGTTGTGTGATGGGGTGTGTGTATAGAAGGTCTAGCGTTGGAGGGCAAATCCCACCTAGCCTGGGAGAGATGTCAAGAGTTCTGGGTTGTCCTGTAGAGATGGGATCAATGCACCACACCTGTGGGACAAAATGAGCGCCTTTACTTCCTTTTTTTAAACTATTTAATTCCCGGGTCTGTTCTCCTCTAGAAAACTACCACTGCACCAGGGAGGAAACCAAGAGGGAGACCCAAAAAACTGGTAAGTACAAGAGGCGCTCACGTGAGCACATGAGAGGGGAGACTGCACTCTGGGGTAGACTGGGCGCCGGCTTGGCCAAGGACAAAACCTGGAGGAAGGGAGAAGGATGCTGCTAGAAATCTCAAGCATCAGTGCCCTGAACACAGTGTCTTTTTCCTCCTTCCAATCTTTTCTCTTTTTTCCTACTCTTCCTATATTCCTCCCAAGGAAATTTCATCCACTAAAAATCCCAATTCCCCCTCCAAGGACTACCTACTGTAGACCAATAGAAGTAGGGAAGCACTAACAGGGGTACCGTGGTTACTGGTGTCAAGGTTGGGGACCTCTTGGTGAGGAGAAGCTGCCCAGGGTAGTCTCCTGACGACCCTGCAAGGTGGTGGTTAGCCTGAAGCCAGGTACTGTAGTCTCCTAAGCAGCTGCGTATGGTAACCGTTTTCCTTCCCCTCCTCCTCCTCCCACTCACCCCCTCTACCTTGTCCTACTACCAGTGGCTTTCTGTCTTCAGCCAAACCAGTCCCCCTCCCCTGGGGTGGGGGGTGGAAGAAGAGGAAACAGCATCTGGCAGACCTCCAGGAGTGAGTAACAGGAAGCAACTTGTTTTGGAGTCTCTGCCTGGCATGGGGGCCGCCCTGGGTCCGTGCGGTGTCCCCGAATTCCCACCCTGTGAGTGTGCTCCAGAACTCACTTCCCTTTCCTCCACCAAGGTCAGCTCTCGGCCACCCCCTCAGCCAGCTCCTGCTCTCTAGTACTCTGGGGATCTTGTTTAGACCCGGTAAGGATTTTCTAGGCTGGCCAGGGTCCCCCGGAGAGACCAGGGAACATAGGGTAGAGCTATCCAGGTGGCTACTCACCTGGTCTATTCCTGCTCTGCCAGGACTGCCCACCAGGGCATGGGGTCCCCCTGCCCTCTGTCTCCTTTTGCGCTTGCTTTTCCTAGCATTCTCTTTCCAAGGAGGAGACTCGCTCTGAGCTTAGGCCAGTTACTTCCTTTTCCCCCCTCCTCTTGAATTCCCCTCCCCCACTGCAGTAGAGAGGAAAGAATGCTTTGGGGGGTGGGGGAAAGACAGCCAGGCTGCTGTGGGAGCCAGCAGGGCTTGGGGAGGGGAGGAAGCAAGTGGAAGGAGCTCTGTTTTCCCTTTAAATTCCTCCTCGTTTTATGAATGAAACCGGGCAGCAAGAGTGCTGAGTCACCCACACACTCAGCCCTGAGTCATCCCAACCCTAGAGCACTTGGATGCAGGGGGTGGGGTGGGGGGGCTGGGCGTGTGTTGGGGGATGGCAGTCTGGGCCCCCCTTCCTGATGTGTCCAGCCCTGTGGGTTCGGGGGGTGGGGGAGGGCCCTTCCCTAGGAGGATGGGGAGCTAGCTGGTGTTTGTGGGTTTCTGTGGGGGCTTGGGCTCCCTCTTCCCTCCCCACACAGGCAGCCCCCTCCCATCCTTCTACAACTAGTAGCTTCCCTTCTCTGCAGGAGAAAGAGGAGGAAGAAGGGATATCCCAGGAGTCTTCAGAGGAGGAGCAGTAACCAAGTCTGCTTATATCTCGCTACCTCATTCCCCTTGATGACGATGACGACCACGGCGGCGGCGGCCCTTTCGTTCTGGGACTAGACAGAAAAATGTTGATCTTTAAGCCCCCATTTTTCTTCCCCCACTTCTCCTTTCCCTCGATCTGTCCTTCCTGGTTTTACTGGTCAGAGAAATAATAGCTCTACCTGGGAAAAATGCCTCCCCATTCACACATTGAACATATTCACACTAACCCTGGCCATCCCATACGGGATTGTGCTGGGTAGGGTGGAGCAGACAGCAGCAGGTGGTTAAGCCTCCCTCCCCCCATCTCCCACATCCATCCATCCACCCATCCACAGACCCACCCATCCTTTCCAAGGATTGGGATTTTTTTTGTATGCCTCCTTCCCTGGACAGAGCTAACCTTTTGACTTAGCTGCCAACACCTGTTTCTTTGTCTCTGCCCCTCTGGAATGGGACCAGGGTTCCTGTTTTCCCATCTCCCCACTCCCCCACTCCAACTCAAAAGGGTTTGAGAGGGAAGGACAGATGTGTGAGTATCTTGATCATAAGAACTCAGCTTCAGTTGACTTCTGTTTGGGGATATTCTGTATCCCCGAAACCCCTCCTTTCTACCTTCTACTCAGTCAAGATTGGTCCCGAGGGTGGAGATGGGAGCAGGCTTTTTAGGGGGAGTGGGGGGGGGTCCAATACCCTCCCCTTTCCCCCTTCTGCCCTCTCCACACTGGCATTTCCTGAGTATCAAACTGGAATGGGGCTGGGCTGGAGCCTAGGGTGTCAGGCACTAATTGAGAAGTAGCTAAGGGGAAGGGAGAGGGTCTGATTCATCTGTTTCCTTGCTGCTCAGGAGATCTAGGGAGAAGGGGGCGGGGGGGGACTTGACAATCCTATTAAATTCCCCCAACCCTGGGTTGGCCTTCCTTGGCCCGTGATTTTTGCCTTTGGAATGCATGTTTTGCAAGGATTTTTCCTCCCCCCCCTCCCTCCTTTCAGAATGCCATCCCCCTCCCCCCCGGAGCTGGTTACATCTTCCCTCCGTTCACAATCTACCTCTGAACATTTTGTTGGTTTTCTTTTTTTAAACGGTTCTGTTCTTATATTCTGTGGCTTCCAGACTCAGCCATGCAGTTTTGTTGGTTGTCATGTTCACCTGCCCTCTACCCTTGCTCCATCTCAGCCCTGCTCATCCTCCCCAAATCATCACAAAGGAGGGCTTGGGGAGATAGTGGACACCAGGCCTAGTTTACTAAAAAGTGACATTGTTTGGGGAGGTGGGCCCCAGGGGAGCTGCCCAACCCCACTTCTATCAGTCCCTCCTCTGGTAATCTTCAAGTTGGGAGGGTTAAGGGAAGGAGGTCCAGTTGAAGTGGGGGAAGGGGTGGTCCCAGACTGTCATGAGGCCCCCCACTCTGGTTTCCTATTTGCAGTTACTTGAATAAAAATTCCTTTTTTCTGGACAAACAGTCTCATTATAGGGGATATGCAGATAGAGCCATATGTCCTAAGGCTGAATTAAAATTTTGATTTGAGGGAAAGGAGGGCAACATCCTGAACTGTTAGTTTGTAAAGGCTTAAACCGTCTACTCCTAAATGTTCTTGGGCCAGTTTTACAGCTGGCTCCAGGACCCAAAAGGGGGACTATTTATTTGGGACTTTCACCTTACTAGCAATGGACATGTCAGTAGGGGAGTGGAAGTGCTTTCTCCTTAGCCAGAGCTATCTTCAGCCACATTCCCATCCACAAAACATTTTATTTACAAAATATATATACACTGTATAATATAAACAAAGCCATCCCTAGAGGTGGGATTCTACAAATCCCTCCCTAGGAAACCATAACCCAGCACCTGACAGTAGCAAGGGCAAAGTTGAGCATGCTGGGACATCTCTGAGGAAGGTGAGGGATACAACCAAAGTCCAGGTAATGCCTGCCCCCTCCTCTCCAGTTTTAGGATTTGCCAAAAGATGCTATGGGCAAGTGCCCAGTTCAAAAAAGTAAGACAGAGATGGGGTTCTAATCCTCTGCTAGGAAAGGACAGCTGCCCCTGCCAGCAGGTCAATAAGGAATGACTATTGTGTGTCCTATTACTGGGCAAGGGAGGAGGAGGCTTTCCAGTGGGAGAGGGCAGAAATGAGCAATTCAGAACTCTTGTAACAGGTAAAAAGGTCTCCCTTCCAGTGGAGCCAGAGCTTGGTGGGGGTCTGCTTCCTTAGTTTATGTCTTCACATCCAAAAGGGGCATCCTTTTGTGCTGGTAACTACTGTGCCAGCCATGGACCACCTGTAAGGGAGAAAAGATGACCCGAAAAGTCCTCTCCCCCCCTTGTACAACCCTGAACCGCAGGTCCTGGCATGGCAAGTGGGTAGGTGTGAACCCACCTCCCCGACCCATCAGGGAAGTATTTCCTCTCGTTCCCAGATGACCCAAATAACCCCTATTCAAGGATGCTCAGAATTCCAACCATGTTGGCCTGGGAGGGTTGGTCACTCACCTTAGGGTCCCCCCCCTCACCCAGCAATTCCTGCTCGGCTTCATGCAGCTCTTCTGCTGGGTCATAGCTGTACAGAGGCAGTAGATGGTGCCGGAGCCTGTCCACCCTGAGAAGGAAGGGGGTCCCCCAATGTCCCTCTTCCCATTCCTCAGGCCTCAGAACATACTGGAAAACTACAATACACTGTCTACTGGCTGGGGAACTAGCAGGTGGTGATGGAACCTGTTCACCCCAGAAAGAAGGGGGGTCTCCTAATTTCCCTCTAACCATTCCTCAGCCCAAGTGGCCTTAGGCCCCAAAACAGACATCAAAAACCTGTAAGGTAAAATGTACTTTAACCCCAGGCTGAGTCAACTGGCCAGCAATTTAAGGTTTACAAAACACTTTATACATCTAATCTCTACAACAACCCTATGAGGTAGGTGTGCTGACAGATGGGGAGCTAAGTGTGGCCTATTAAGTGCCTAAGGCCTAATCTGAACACCAGTCCTCCTGGCCCCATTTCCAGTATTGTGTCCAGTGCGCCACCTAGCTGCCCAATTGAGGAGGTCCCCAGTCAGAAGCAGAATCACCTCCCCTGCTGCTTTTCCCCCTCCACTGGAAAGAGCCGCTGCCTTACCTTCACCTAAACGAGCACTTACCTTTTCTTCTTCTGGATGTACATCATCTGCAATAAAGACAAAGCACGCTGGGTGGTGGTAGGGGGGCACCAGGCAGGAGAAGAATCTCTCTCTCCCCTCCCCGTCATCAACTTCCATCCCCAACCATGAGATCCTTCCACCACCCTATGGAAGAGCCTTTGGGGTAAAGGGAGGTGCAAGGAGGGATAAAGGCAGGGCTTCTCTCCTTACCACAGCCACCACCACCCCCACTAGGGTGATGAGGAAGAAAGGGCCAAGCACGTAGCCCACCATGGAGTCGCTGGCAGCCCTGGGGGCACTGGGTGCTGTCGTGTTACTCATCACACCAGTAGCCAGGGCAGGGGCAGGAACAGCAGGGAAGAGCCGTCAGCATGGGGCGCTTCGGGAGGGACACCTCCACTCGGGTCCCTGGGGTTGGGGGCACAAAAGTTCTCCATTTCACTCAGGGTGGGATTCAAACCTTGAACCCCTCCAGGCGGCTGATCTTGACCTTGCCCTTCCCCTACCCCAGGCCTCAGGACACTGTACGAGAACAATAATAATATTAACTCATTTCTATAGGGCTTTCAGGTTTACAGAGTGCATTTCTCACAACAGCACTAAGAGGCAGGAAGGTGGAAAGGTAGGGTTTTAAAATAAGGGCAAATGCGCAAAATTTCCCTCCTTAAAGAAAAGGAAACTGAGGCCCAGAAAGAGGAGTGACTTGCTCTAGGGCCACAAAGCTAGTAAGTGGTGAGACATTCAAACTCCTAATTTCAGATACAATTCATATTGTCAGACACCTGTGATCCACCAATAGAATGTACTACACCTGGGTTCAAATCCCATCCCTGGGGCCTCAAGCAAGTCATAACCTCCTTTCCTGGGGCCTATGTTCTTATCTTTTAAATGAAAAAGTTGGACTCAATGATGTCTAAGGTCTTTTCCACTTCTTAAAATATTTCATCTTTGTTCCACTGTCCACTTCAGACTCTTCATTCAAGGCAACAGATATTAAGCACCTACTGTGTGCAGGGTTCTATACTAAGTGCTGGATTGGAACCAGTCCCAGCAGAGAGAGGCAAAGTCCTACCTCAGAAGAGGTGTTGCAACCCACCTGACTATGCACCTTTTCCACTTTCTACTCTCTGGCACCAAGGCCAGACTGGGCTCTAGAGGATATATGACCACACCCAGAGGCTCCATTTCCAAGAGCACCAAATAAGTAACTCAGGGCAGACCTAGTGAGCCCCACACACCCCAAAGCCATCCTCCATCCCAAAGAGGGAAGGCAAGATGTGACACACCCTTCATCCCTATCCTCTCACTCTTTAAACATGGTTTTAAAAGATCCCTTCCAGTTTTACAATGCCCTACCCCCATCCCCAGACTCGGGTCTGGGCAGGGCCAGGAAGAGGCTCCATGGCTTCAACCTTTCCAATCCCCAAAACGCACGAGAGCAGGGACTGAAATTTGGGGCGGGCACAGAGAAGAGAAAGGATGATGTCATCATCTGGTGACACCTCTAATTCCTTCCCATCATCTACCGAGGGCCAGTAGCACCCTTAGTTTGGCATGAGGTTGGGAGACCTGGGCAGTATCAACCTGACCCAGCACCAAGTTCTGAAGATCCTGAGGATGCCAAGACCAAGTGACATCACACTGGGATGGGGGCAACTCAGACCCAAGCAGTCAGGCTCCCTGAGCAACTCCAAGAAGCAACCCACCCCACCCCTCCAAATCCCCGCTGGTCAAGGTGTCCGGGACTGGCCCCCATATTTATCAGGCCCGGCCCACACATTCCCGCCTCCCCAGCTCGTGCACACGCCTAACTTGGTGCTGGGGAACCGCCGGGCATCCTTTGCCCCAGAGCCACTTCCCTCAAAAAGCACCTGCTCAGTTTCCCCCACCTCCCGCAACCCAAGCGCCTCCGGATTCTCCGGGGCCCGGGTGGGAGAAAAATGGGGTGCAGTGTTCCTGGGGAGTTCCTGGGGGGGCGGAGGAGACAGCTGCTTTTGGTCAGCCAGGCCTCTGCACTACGGGGCACGGACGCTGTGCCCGCACTCTGCAGCCCCCCCGGGCACTGCCAAACGGCCTTACCTCCCGCGACTGCGGCCCCAGCTTACACGGCCTCCGCAAGGCTGCAAGCAAGGACCCCCCCCCACCCCCCCACCCCGGAAGCGGCCGGAGCAGCGCGTGACGCCAGGAGCCCGGGAAAACGGGCGGGGCCCAGGAGCCAGAGAGCAGCCAATCCGGAGAGGAGGCGGTGGGCGGGGCCGGAGAGGTAAAAAGCACGCTCAACCCCAAATGGCAGGATGGGCGGAGTCCCCGAGCCGCCAATTACAAAGAAGAGAGGGAGGGGGCGGGACCAATTTGCTCCGGGAGGACGGAAGCGGAGGGCGCGGCCGGGAGCCGCAGGGGCCAGAGCGAGACGTCAGGGGGCAGCAGAGGGCTGCAGAGCCGGGGAGGGTTAGGGGAGGATCAAGGAGGGAGGGAGGGAGTAAGAGGAGAGAGAGAAGAGAAACCTATTTTCCCAGCATCCTTTGAGGCTGGCAAAGAAAATGGAGAAGCTATGGTGACCGTTCCTCTTATGTTTCCGGCATCCCCCGCATCCACCCCTATTAATCATGGTGGCTCAGAAGCCCCGGGGAAAGAGAGAGAAGCCCACCGAATCCTTCCCCTTCCGCACCCCCACCCCCCAGTACTTCTTGATGGCTGACCTAAATCCCCGGGGTGTAGCATCTCCCGAGGTCTGTTCGTCTCCTAATCCGTCCTCTGGGGAGCCAGGAGATGCTAGGATTCCCAGATCCATAGATCAAGCCCTTTGGGATGCGGAGAGACACCCGTGCCCATTCCCTTCCCCACAGACTCAGGGAGGATTTGGGAGCAGGTCCAGGAAGGGCCGCAGCCTTTAATTAGCTCTTTCCATCTGCTACACCCAGGAGGGAGAGAGGGCAAGGCAAAGAATGAAAATAATAGCTTATATTTATGCAAATTCATTTTAAATTGACTGTTTATTATATCAAAGTTTTAGAGCTGGAAAAGGCCTCTGTCTTTGTCCTGCACTCTCATTTTATGAATGAGGAAACAGACCCACATAGGTGACTTGCCTCAATTCACATGTGTAAATGATAAAAGACAGGACTTGAACTTAGGTTCTCTGACTCCAAGTCCAGCACTCATTCCACTGCGTTAAAGCCATTATGTCATTTGATGACCCCTATAACCCAGCAAGGCAAGGACAATTACCATTATTTTACAGATGCCCATGGTCACACTGCTAGCAATGGTAGAGGCTAGACTGGAACGCAGATCTTTTGACTCCAAATGTTTTTGTTTTGTTTTGTTTTCTTTTGGCTAGGCAATGGGGTTAAGTAACTTGCCCAGGGTCACACGGCTAGTGAGTGTTTTGTGTCTGCGGTCACATGGTCACATTTGAATTTAGGTCCTCCTGAATCCAGGGCCAGTACTCTATCCACTGTGCCACCAAATATGTTTACCAATACGACATACCACTGCTACTCTTCCACAATAACTCATATTTCAGCAGTGCCTTCTTTACAAAAGATGCAGCTCCTGCCTTCAGGGAGTTTCCAGTCTAATAGAACAAGAGTAGAAGGTGCAGGCTCAAAAATGGGTGGTTGCATAGCAATTCCCCTCTAGAGTTTAGACTGGAGGCAAAGAAACTGCTGAAAGGAATATTGGAGATACATATAATTATTATACATATATTATGTACACTATGTAAATAGATACAAACAGGGTGTTTGTATACAAGGTGTTCCAAAATCTTAGTGTGGTTTTAAGCTTTAATACCTTAGAACTGAACTAAGACTTTAGGAACATACTATGTAATTGTTATAGAACAGATCACCTGAGCTGGAATGAACCTTAGAAGCCACATAGTTGAACCTATTCCTTTATTGGAGAGAGGCAGGAGGAGACCTGAGGTCCAGAAAGAAGTGAATCATGCCCAGAGTGTTACAAGCTCAGAGTCAATGACAAGACAAAAGTGAAACAATTCCCCAAGGGACTTCAGAAATAGTGTCTTATAGAAACTGGCATCTGAGATGAGCTTTGAATGCAGCTAGAGAATTGAAGATATAGAGAGAATCCATTCTAGTCATGGAGAACATGGATAAAAGTATGGAGAGGAGAGATAAAATGTTGAACATTTGTTCAACTTGTAAGCCAGGACAAAATAATGTAGGAATCCCTCCCAGGTAACACATGAATTTTATTATTTCCTTTAAAATTCATACATTTCATTTTGATGTAGTCTCTTCCAACAATTTCTTCCATATAATACCTACTTTTCCACACACAAAAAAAGTTAAGTAAAACTAATAGCTTGATTGTAACAGGATGTATGTTGCTTTCTGGTTTTTGTCTGCAATTATTACAATGACACCAGCCATTGTTTTTGATCTAAGGGTTTTTAAATGTTTTATGGATATATTTTGTTTTAATATCCCTTTCCTGTCTATCTTTCCATTACCCAGAAAGACATTCTGTATAATAAAGGTCAAAAAAGAAAACAGGAGAGGGAGGGGAAAAGCAGTTTAGCAAAATCAACCAACACATCAACTAGGTCTGATGTATTGCATTTTATATACACAATTATTAATTACACAATTAATAAAGAGTCAAATATACAAAAGTTCACATCCATAATCCACCGATACCTCTGCAAAGAAGAGAAAAGAAATGTATTCTCTCAGGGGCCCAGTGGATAGAGTGCTAGGCCTAAAATCAAGAAGACAAGCTCAAGTCTGGCCCCTGACTTACTAGCTGTGTGACCCTGGGCAAGCCACTTAGCTTCTGTTTGCTTCAGTTTCCTCATCTGTAAATTGGGGATAATAATAGTACTTGCCTCCCAGAATTGTTGTGAGGATCAAATCAGATAATATTTGTAAATTGCTTACTTAGCACAGTGCCTGGTATGTAATAGGCACTTAATAAAAGCTATTTACTTCCTTTTTCAGGCTAACCATGTAGGGCAGTGGTGTCAACTCAAACAGTAACTAATCCCTGTGTGCCACATATTGACTTAGAAAACCACAAATTAAAATTTTGTTGTTGTTGTTTAGTTGTTTCAGACTCTTCATGATCCTGTTTGTGGTTTTCGTGGCAAAGATACTGGAGTGGTCTGTCATTTCCTTCTCCAGCTCATTTTACAGATGAGGAAATTGAGGCAAACGTTAAGTGACTTGTCCTTCTTCTCGAAGAGGACAATGACATCAGGAAGGTGATGTCATGACTTGCAAGTGAATTGGATTTAAGTGAGGGAGGGCTGTGCAGTCACCAGCCTCACTGTCTCCTCCAGAGTCATCTGGGTCCAGTGACAAAATATAGATCAGAACTACTGAAGATGGCCCTGGATGCAGTGGAAGACCTTGGCCTTTTTAAGCTAAGGTCTTTAACAGATCTCAGTTTGAGGCAACACCCATTCAGTGATTAAGGCGAGGTAAGAAATGAGGCAAAGAATGGTTTCTTTTACCTAATGAAAAAACAAACAAACAAGAAATCAATCTGGGATGGGAAGACCCTCACAGTTTCTGAACAAAACAGAAACGATTGCTATTAACACTGTGAGCCATCAGGGCCCAAAAAATGACCAAGGGAGGCTTGGGGTGGAACCTACTGTTGGCCAATCAATGAGAACTGGAGTGATTTGGATTTGGATTTAAGGCATGGTGCTTAAAAGAAATCTAGCAAGATATTTTTTGAGGTTTCATCGATCCAAATTTTATATTCCTTTGGGCAGAGCACCCAGAGGTAAGGATATGATTCCCTATGTGGACAGAGGGAGAGAAGGGAGGGAGAGGAGGGAGGAAAGGAAAGAAGAAAAAGGAAAGAAGGAAGGAAGGAGCAAGCTGCATTGCCCAACTGGAACTGGCCAGTTGGGTCCCCAGTGAAGCAGCTACTACTACTCACAGATCATTGTTTGTTCTTTGTTTTTGGGTTTGTTTTTGTTTCTTTGGTTTTTTTTTTTTAGGTTGGGCAATGGGGTTAAGTGACTTACCCAGAGTCACACAGCTAGTGAATGTTATGTGTCTGAGGTTGGATTTGAACTCAAGTCCTCCTGACTCCAAGTTTGGTGCTCTATACACTGTGCCACCTAGCTGCCCCTGAGGTGGTTTTAAAGACACAGTTTCAGCTATGGAGCCAATGGAAAGAGGTTGCTCCCAACCCCATGACAGGTCAACCCAGTATGTGCACAGATGAACCAGATCTCTGTATCTTCCAGAAGCAGGTCCCTAAATTAAAAGATGACTGGCCTGGTTACCCTTCTTAAATGGAGGTTCTGGAAGAAGCTGCTCAACTAGAGGGAGAGGTGCCAGGGGCAGAAGATACTCCTAAAGTATGAGTTCCATGGCTGAAGTGATCTAGGATGAAGATGTTTCTGGGGAATGATGGAGAAATTCAGAGGAAAGCAGCCTGGCAGGCAATGAAGACATGACTGGCTTGGGTAACTCTTAAAATGAAGGAAGGAGCCATTCAATTACAGGGAAGCACCCCAGTGTCAGAGGATACTTACAAGGTGTGAGTTCCTGGGCTACAGTGATCTTCCATGCCTCCCCCAATTTGTAATTGCAAAGTTGATTGTTTTAACTCAAGGAATAAGACTTTACATTTAATGTTATTAAATGCCACATTATATATTCAACTCAATATTTTAGCCAGTCAAGATACCTTTTATAAGCAAAGAAACCCATTTATCCAAGTCAATAACAAAACAGAAAGCAGAGAAAGTATACATTAGAGAACATATACCAGACAGCATGGAGTGAAGGAACTCTCCTATTGAGAGTGAGATAAATTGGCTCAACTGAGAGGGGAAAGAGAGAGAGAGAGAGAGAGAGAGAGAGAGAGAGAGAGAGAGAGAGATCTCCAGATTTCACCCAGGGGGAATTTGACAAAATCTAGTGTATCAGGCTGGGGATAGAGACATGATAAAGGCTGCCAGCTCTTCTCATGCAGGCTTCTTCCCAGAGTCTTATTTTCCCTTAAACAACTTGAGGTGGGGTTGACATCTTCCATCTTCTCTCTAAAAACTGAAGGCCAAAGGCATCCAAAGTCCAAACAGATGGAAGAGACTTGAAGAAAGTGAAGAGACTAAAGAGAATCCTCTCTCTCGCTCTCACCAGTT